TCCCCAGCTGAGTGCTTCTTTCTCTCCTCCGGGTGGAGGGTGTGGTGTGTGGCTTTCGTGGCCTGGCTGTGAGAGGCCCACAGTGAGCACCAGGCCCCAGGGGACTGTGTCTCCCTTCTAAGTGTGCCCCGGTTGTCCCAGGGGGACATTTCCAGCTCAGGGGCCAGGCCAACTGCACGTTCAGAGGCTGCACCTCCTTCGGCAGCTTCCAATGACACCCCCTCCCCCGCCGGGACACCTGCACGTGGCTCAGAGTCTGTAGGGCGCAGAGTCTGGGGTGTGGAATGACTGACTGCCTCCAGGTCATAAACTCAAGGATGCGATCAGCGCATGTCTTGTACCCCGTGCCTGGTGCTCAGTAGCCTTTCTGGAGACGGCTCTCAGTAGTTTTGCTTTTTGTTTTTGGGGGTGTCTATGATGTAAAACAACACAGTGTTTGATGAGCCTCTGTGATGGGCCAGACTCTTAGGGCTTGGGGTGCCCCCAGGAAGTCCCTGGCCTGGAGTGTGTGTTCTGGTGAGGGGGACAAGCACCGACCTACACGTTGGGTCAGTAAGGAGGCCTGGAGCGTGCGGGGAGGAGACAAGCGCCCTGGGTCGAGACAGAGGTGGGAGGTGGCGACAGCAGCCTGGACCTGGGGCGTAATCTTCAGTCAGAGCGTCCAGATGCCCTCCTGAGAAGGTGACACGTGAGCATCAGTGAGGTGAGGCAGTGAGGCGTGGGGAGCTGGTGGCAGAGGGGCCGGCCTGCACCGCGGCGGACTCACGGCCTCCCTCTCCCAGGGTCTCTGGGGGTCAGGGGGACTGCCCCTTGTTTACAGAGGAGAGAAGAGGGCATCGGGCAGCCTCAGCTTGCCCTGCTGGGACCACGGAGCTGGCGTTCATCTCCCTGTCTAGTTTTCAGAAACCCTTCCCGGGAGCTGACTAATGTTTGGAACATCACACGTCTTCGTGGGTGAGAACGCTGTGAATTAGTTCCTTTGACCAGTTTTCATATTGGAATCTGAACTATTTTTCTCCAAAATAGGCTGAACTTCAAAGTATTTGAGTTTAAAAATGAAAATCTGGTTAGGGCTTCTGCGAGTGGGTCGGGGTTCCCCGAGACTGACGCATCCTATGCCGATTACCGCCTGCGCGCCCCAGCCGGGCAGTACCCTCAGCCTGGGTGCCTGTTCAAGTTGGCAGGTGCCCCGGATTCCTCTGCCCTCTGCTGTGCCCCACGCCTCTGGGGCCTGGGTAGAGCCTCTGTGACACCTGCCATCTGAGTAGTTGCTGGGGGGCGGGCCTCAGCACCCGTAGAGGTGGGGGCCCATCTCGGCTGAGCGGGCAGGCTCCTGTTCTCTCAGGCCGTGGGGCTGCTGCGAAGAGCACCACAGGCCGATGGTGCATGAGCAGCAGAAAGTTAGGTCTCCTAGTCCTGGAGGCCGGAAGTCAGGTCAGGCGGCCAACACGGTTGGGTCCTGGCTCTCTTCGGGGCGCAGACAGCTGCCTTCTCATAGTATCCCAACATGGGGGAGACTAGAGAGGGGAAACAGGCTGTCTCGTGACTCCTCAGGAGCACCGATCCCATCAGGGGACCCCACCCTCCTGACTTCCTCTAAACCTGAGGCCCTTCTTCCTAACACCGTCCCGTCTGGGGAAGGACTTGCGCATACGGACTTTGGGGCCTCACAGCATTCAGCCCATGGCCAGGTATGCAGTTGGGCTGCATCCTGCCAGGGTGGGGATCCTTGGGGTGGCCTCCTCCTGTAAAAGCCAGGTGAAGGATGCCCCAAGCGGCACATGCTGGGGAAGGGGCCGATTACTGTGTTTGCCTCTGCCTCCACCCGCTTGCACATCAACCATCTTTCCTTTGCTTTCTGAGCAGGCTTTTTGTGAGCAGTTCATTTCATGATAGCAGCTAGTGTTTATCCATCGCTTACTGTGGGGCAGAGACTGTCTCGGGCCCTCGTCATGAACAGATCCCTCTGACTTTGCAGCCAGTCTAGGAGAGAGCTTACGGGGGAGGTATAGGGAGGTCACGTGGCTCGCCCAGCATGCTGAGCGGTGGGGTAGGGTTCAAGTCCAGGGCGTCTGAGGCCAGGGCCTGCTGCTAGCTGCTGACCTCCCCACAGAGAGCAGGGCCTCTTCGCTGGTGATGCCGCCCCCAGGGGACATGAGGTTCTGTTTTAGGACCTTTCCTGTTAACATCTGGGGCAGGGAGTGTGTGCTCCTGGCATGAAGTGGGCAGAGACCAGGGTGCCTGGCCCCCAGGGGACTCTCTGGCCCGACCGTGCACAGTGCCAAGGGGGAGAGGGCCGCTCTGGAGCCCGAGGTGGCCTCTCAGGGAGCCGACCCCACGGGTGGCTGGCAGTGGTGCGCAGAACTCGTGGGCCTGTGTTCAGTTCCCTTGGTGGGCTGTTAGTCGTGGGGATGGCTTACTCGGTGATGGCGCTAAGACGACCACATCAGCCCTCATTCTTACTGGGCTGGGCCTGGCGCAGATGTGTTGACTGGCAGGCAGTCTAGTGGGGAAACACAAGGATCTGAGTCTTTCACCTCCCTGGGTGGAATGGAGCCTTGGAGTGATGGACAGGACCCAGAAGCACCCAGGGGTAGAAGTCCCAGTTCAGTCTTGTTGGGGAGGGCCAGGACGTGTCAGGGAAGGCTTCAGGGAGGAGGTGATGTCTCTAAGGTTACCGGTAGGGTGAGGCTCCAGGCTTAGGAGGTGGGGCCATCCCAGCCGAGGGGAGGTGCCGGGTGGGCTGGGCTGGCTGACTGCACACCTCATCTACGTGGTTTGCAAGTTCCCCCAAGGCAGGGACCATGTCCCATTACCTTTGTTTCCCTTTGGGGTCCTGTGTCATTACGTGAATGTTGCTGAGCTAAACTGAGGTGTCTTCAGGGCCTGGTGACCGCGGGCTCTCCCCTCCTCCATGTTCTGCCCCACTCTTGTCCCTGCACCGGCCCCACGGCGCAGGGCCAGGCCAGGCCTCTGTTGAGGTGAGGGACCTGTGAGTGCCATTTCATGTGACTGTGCTCCTCGGAGCGGAGTCGTGTTTCTGGGGCCTGGACGCTGTGTTTCACAGGGCCCAGTGTGATCAGAGTGCTGCCTGCCCTTCCCACTGCCGGCATTGTGTCGGTGCCTGTCCCTTTATGGTGCGCCACCGTGGGAGCTCACGTCACCCCACGCAGCGTCCACAGGGCCTGCTGGCTGCCCTCGCCTTTGGCCTTCAGCCCTGGGTAGATGGCAGCCTGAAAGTTCCGGGATGCTGCAGCAGGGGTCTCCGGCTGGCCTTCCCCGCGCCTCCTGCTTACCTTTCGACTGTCCTGACTTTCTTAATCAGCGTCTGAGGTATCTGTACCTTTGTATCTGAAGTCAGATGCCCTTTGCTTGGTCTAGGGTGCCGCTGGCATAATGGGGAGCCTGCGCCTTTGGCTGCGAAGGGCTCAGTGGGCGTGGCTGGGGAGGACTGTCCATCGCTGATGGGGACTGAGCTGCAAGTGGGTCCTGGGTGGACACTGGCTGCCCCGGAGGGGGACACTGATGTGTTTTCCACTTACAGTAGCAGGGAGACCTGCTGTTGACCTTCCTGCTTCCTCGGGGGGCAGGGGGCATCACTGTGCCTTGCAAACCCTGCCCGTCCCATCTTAGAGGGGGACCGGATGTGTGCTCTGCTCAGGACGACGTGGTCCTTACATGTCGGAGTAAATCAGAAGGGATGCTCTCTAAGATGGCGGAGAAGTAAAACTCAGCACGTTTGGTTCCGCGTTAGAACGAGGAATCCCTCCTCCCGCCCATCGTCTTTCCTGAGGAATCATGACGCACAGCGGAGTGGCAGATTCCGAGGGCGGGGAGGAGGGGGTCTGAGCATCGCTGCCCCGGGCCTCCCGGAGGGCAGGCCGGTGGGGACACCTCCTGCAAGCGAGGGGTCAGCCCTGCGGAGGGGCTGGGACTTGCTCTCACCTCGACGCGCCCACCTCTACAGGCTTTTCTGGAAGCTTAACTGGGCCAGACACTGCTCCTCTGTAGCCTGAGAGTTTCTGTGTGAAGCCTTTCCGGGCCTCGATTTTAGGGTAATGAGTCAGCTCTGCGGGAAGGAGGGGGCCGGTGGGAGTCTGACAGCGGCGGCCAGGAGCCGGCATGTTTTCTTCACTTTGTTTGGTTCCCGCCCCATCTCCTGGAGTTGGTTTTTTCCTCTACTTTAAATTTCAGTTCTGGGAGATGTGACCATTCAAGGGTATTTAGACCTGGGGGTGTACAGCCTGGTGCTGCCTGTTCCTGTGGGCCCCTCGTTGGTCCCTGGTGGCTCTTTCTGAGTGGGTGTTGGGCCTTGGGCTCTTTTCTGTGGCTCTTCCTGGTCCGGGTTCCTGGATTTAACGCACGGTTTCACTTCGGCCCTGTGTGTCCCTGTCGGTGGGCCTTTGTGCGTGGTGGTAGGTGGTGCCCTGGGGCGGGGGGTGCTGGGCAGGCCTGCAGCCTGCTGCCCCTCCCCTGCTTGCATGCGCTCTAGCTTCCTGTGCTTTCTCTTGGTGATGGTCCCTGCCCGCCTCCCTCATGGGGCTTGGGGAGATCCAAGGGGTGCAGTGCCTTTGTGGGCTTCATGCTCCTCCACGTGTGGCTCGGTGGCTTCCTTCTGTGCTCAGGCCCAGGTGAACCCCCCAGGCACCAGCAGATCTTTGGGTTGTGTCACCTGGGCAGGCCTGCTAGCAGTGGGGGAGCCGGGGGGGTCTGGAGTTTTCTGGTTGTCGTTTTGCTTTTGTGTGAGGCACGTCTGTTTTCCCAGGGAGTAACGCTCTACCAATAAGGCCAGTGGGCTTCTTGGGTGTTCACTAGTTTCACTTTATTGCGCCGGTCACGCGGGTCTGCACTGGCAGGTTAGGGGAGGAGGGGATGGCTGTGGCACGGTGGCGTTCCCGAAGGGCAGGTGGCGCGGGTGGGAGCCTTCTTACTGGGGAACAGGGCCGTAGGGGGGGGGGTCCAGGAGGCCATCCTCACCCCCTGCGCGCTCTCTCCCCAGACAGCGCCGGTGACACTGCTCCTCTGCAGCGGTCCCAGTCTCTCCCGCACTCGGTGGCGGCCGCCGTGGGTGGCACGTCTGACCCCAGCGCCCTCAGCAGCTCAGCGTTAAGTGAACGAGAGGCCTCCCGGCTCGACAAGTTCAAGCAGCTCCTTGCCGGCCCGAACACAGACCTCGGTGAGTCCCCCGCTGGCGGAGGGCACGTGCACCTGCGCCCCCACGTGTGGTTTACTTTGTCAGAGGGCGATGTGTTTGTGCCGTCCTGCGCGAGTCACAGAGATGAGCCATTTGTCCTTGAGGTTTACTTCAGCTGTGTGTTGGTCATGGGCTTCCGGGGCCATTGATCCGGTATTTTCTGTTCTGTTCTATTTTTTAATGCTCCGATTGAACTCCTTTGCCTTCTTGGGGCTGAACTGGTTTGCTCCACAGGACTGGCCAGCTTGGTGTCCTTGCTTTTCAGAGTCTTCGTGGGGACACAGAGCTGGTGACCGGGGTCCTGAGTGCTGCTGACTTTACACCTTCCTTGGTGTAAAGTGTGGGATAGGCCGTGAACACCCCGGGAGCCCAGGCGGGGCTGGGGTGGGAGGGCCAGCAGGCCGTACAGTCAGCGAGGGGTCAGCCCTGCGGAGGGGCTGGGACTTGCTCTCACCTCGACGCGCCCACCTCTACAGGCTTTTCTGGAAGCTTAACTGGGCCAGACACTGCTCCTCTGTAGCCTGAGGGTTTCTGCGTGAAGCCTTTCCGGGCCTCGATTTTAGGGTAATGAGTCAGCTCTGCGGGAAGGAGGGGGTCGGTGGGAGTCTGACAGCGGCGGCCAGGAGCCGGCATGTTTTCTTCACTTTGTTTGGTTCCCGCCCCATCTCCTGGAGTTGGTTTTTTCTCGGGGGTCACCATGGCCGCGGGGCCGCTCTGCCACCAGGCTCTGAGGCGGGTGCTCGCCTCCAAGTCCATTTGCTGGGCTTCCCCTCGAAGCTGCGTCCTTTCCTCGGTACGTCTCTTCTTTGCGGAGTGCCACGCTGCATCGGGCATCTTGCTGGCTGCGGGGGCTCTCCGGAAGGTGGGATGTGGCCGCGGTCACGAGATCACGCATGGTGGAGGGTGGGTGCCAGGGTGGCACAGAGGGCTGGCGCGCCTCGGCAGCAGTGCCCTGCTCCGCCAGCAGGTGGCGCGTGAGGCACGCGGCTGGGCTGCCCAGCAGGGAGGCGGGCGGAGGCGAGCGAGCATGGAGCTGAAGGATAGGCCGCGTCCCTGAGGATGCTGCTCCCCTTGTGGGTGCAGAAGGGTTCCTTCCCGCGAGTTTCTGCGTTTTCATTTTCCTGATTGATTTGCTCACGCACACGTAAGACAGTCACACGGCACCAGAGGATGTGCGGTAAAAATGTATCGCTCTCCTCTTCCCCAGGCCTGCTTTCCCTCCTTCGCGTGATTCCAGGTGTCTTCTTCCAGGGACAGGAAGGGAGGCCTCTCGTTCTCTTAACGCTGAGCTGCTGAGGGCGCTGGGGTCAGATCACGCACATGACGATGCACGTGACGTCTTAAACTTTTTATTTTGATGTAATTTCAAATGTAGAAGAAAGTTGCAAGAACGGTACAGGCGAGTCCTGTCTTCACCAATCGTTTGTACTTTGCCCCGTCTTCATCCTGTGCGTGTGCCTGTGTGTCTGCGTGCTTTCCCCGAACCGTTTGAGTCCGTTGGAGACCCTGGACCCCTGGGCCCCTGAGAGCACCACTGTCTGTTTCCCAAGCACAGAGACACCGTCAGAACATTGCACAGCAAGATGGTGCGCTCAGCTCATCCGCGGTGCACATTCTCTTCCTGCCAGTCGCCCCAGTGATGTGCGCAGTGTGTGTCGCCCCGCCCGTCCTCCCCGTCAGCCAAGGGGGCCCCAGCGTGCACCGTGTTCCCGGGCGCCAGGGCGTTTGAGGAGGGCAGGCCAGCTGTTGAGCGGCGCCCCTCAACGGGGGTGTCTCGTATCCTCCTGATGAGATTCAGGCCGGTCGTTTGGCAGGGATGTCGCCTATGAGGTTTGTGTTGTCTGTCACCGTGGCGGGAGGCCACGGGGCGGGTTGGCCCTCGGGTTCAGGAGGGAATGCGATGACTGGCGAGATGGCGGCTGTCAGGTCCTGCACGGGGATGGGGGGCGGACGCGACTCTTCTGTGGTAGCTCAGAAGTCGCGTGTGGAGAGGCGCTTTGGGGTCCGTGCATCTGTGCATGTTTCCCCCCACGCGTGGTGGTGCTGCTCTGCCCCCCACGTTAAACCTCACAGCGTCTTTCCCGTGGTAGCGCTAGAGACGCGCGCGGCCCGCACGGGCTGTGCGCCCGGGACTCCTTTACCGCCCCTCCGACGGGCACTTCGGTTCTTCCCAACTTTGTGTCACGGCAGTGGGCTTGGACCTGTGATCCTCACCCCGCGCTGGTGACTAGCGATGGGCATCGATCGTCCCGAAACGTGGGTCAGGGAGAGGAGGAGCTGGGGTGGAAATCTCACCACGACGCTGGGAAGTCAGGTGGATCAGGCGCCAAGGAGTCTAGTCGTGGGGTTTGAGCCCGTCCCTTGGCCACTTGCTTTTCCAGCCCGCCAAGACACCTGTGCCCCGAGGCAGTGTGGGGAGGTGCCAGAGTGCGGGGAGGGCGGAGGTTCTGGGACAACTGCTGGCTGGGAGTGCGGGGTGGTGTTCTCCAGCCCCGTGACTGGTGCAAGCCTGGAGCGCTTCTGGGGTCCTCGGTCGCCTGCCCAGTGGTGCTGGCTGTGCTGAGGGGGCACACCCGGGGAGGGGATGCATACGGAGTGTTTAGGAGCAGGCCCAGCACACGGTGAACGCTGAACAGTGCTACTCATCTGCCTGATTCATTTGCGTTGGCCTCTTTACCCCTTACCTTGATTTTCAGAGCACCGATGCACGTGGTCGCTGTGGTCACTGCCGAGTCAAGGCGGCTTGCACGTGTCCTCTTGGTTGAGTTAAGCGGTTTCTGACACTAGGGGGCACGGAGGTAGTTGGTGAAGACAAGATACACTGATAGGAATTGCAGTTCTGGGTCAGGAGCTGAGCCCCCGTTAGTCTTCTGGTGGCCTTTGTCAGTGGACTAACTTGTGGACATTAAAATCCTACTTCAGAACAAAGCTTTCAGGACTCATGGGGAAAGCGGCTATGCACGGGCAGGAGGAAAGGTTAACATGTAAAAATAAGATTCTTTTGTTGGGTTGGTGCCGTTATGAGTGTTTTCTGTCTTTTGCATTCTGTTTAAGTATCAAATCTCACACCAAAAAGCTTTCAAAGTTAAACAATTACTGGATTTGTATTTAGTGGCAGGAGAAAACACAGCCAGTAAATTGCCTGTTTTTATAAGGCATTTAAGATAGCCGTTCAACCAGCTGTGCCGCCCAGGTACCCCTTCTTGGTTTTTATATATTAGAAAGATTAGCCCTTTATTTTTGATATAAGTTGTATTTTTTTTCCCTTTGATCGTGAGACTGCCAGTTCCTTCCTGAAACCTCTTCTGCCCTTGGCCTTCAGTTTACTCTCTGGCTGCTCTCCTCAGAGGCCTTTGTCCCCTGCCTGTCAGTCATGTTTGTGTCTTGCAGTAGGTGCCCTCCTGTCTTCTTATACCCTCTCTCTGGATGGCCTTGGTCATAACTGAGGCCTCAGTGGGCATCTCTGTGCTGTCTCTGTGCACCTCCAGCTGGGACTCTCCTTGGAGATCCCAGCCGCCTGCCCCATCATTAATAGATCCTGCACTCAGATATCATCTCAGGCTGTGTGGTTCCCAGACTGGACTCAGTAACACACTTTCTCTTGTGACCCTTCTCCTGGGAGTGGCAGAAATCTCTCTCAACCACATCTCCGAACTTCCCTACCTCATACCTAGTGGTTGCTTCTCAGATTCTCGGTGGGGAAATCCATCCTTTTTGTACAAACTGGTGCTCTGAGAAGTTCATGTTGTTCTGGTCTAGGAAGATCTTGCGTGGGGGGTTCAGCGCTCCACTGGACAGCACTACTCTTCAGTCTCTTTGACTTGCTTGGGGTCCACATGTCTTGACTAAATGTTATCCACCTCTGCTCCGAAAAGGGCCATGTTGGTTCACACAGATGGCAACATCCTCCTGGTACATTTGTCCTCCTTATGCCATGTGTCATGGTGCACTTCAGCCCTCCAGGATGGGCCGCAGCAAGCAAAGGCCCCTTTTGCACTTGGGAGATTGTGGTGTCCCCCCAGAAGGCTCCAGTCCTGGAAATGCAGGACAATATGAGCCAGCTGGGCTGTGTTCTTTCTACATAAGTATGGATGTGCTAAGGCTGGGCTTCAGCAGTCAGTGACTGCATCATGGCACAGTGGGGTTTGGAAGTCCCAAAGAGCTCTCACCATGAAGGAGTTAAACACCTCTCTTGGTGTTTCAGAAAAAACACTGTCCAATTGTCTGTTTCTATAGCAGAATTCCCAGTGCTCTGAGAGTCCTTAACGGGCATCTAAAACTTAACATGTCCTAGATGGCACTCAAAGTCTTCACACTGGGAGATACTCTGTCAGTGTGCCTTGTCTCTGCCAGCAGGATCAGCACCTCCTGAGCTAATTAAGAGTGAAATGCAGATCTTATTCCCCATTTCCGCTTGCCTCACTCTCCACACCCATGTCATCTGTGATCCACCCAAGAGCGCTTTCAGATGCATTGCCAAGAATGGTCCAGCTCCCACCTGATCTTGCCCCAGCACCAGTGACAAGCAGCTGCTCCCTCTGCAGCCAGAATGCACCTGTTGATCCTGCCTTCTGACCTTGTTGTTTGGTCCTTGGCATCAAAACTCATGTCCTCAGGTAGGAGCTCCCCTTGTGGTGAGCACCGTATTACAGAGAGTTGTCGAATCTCTACGTGGGACACCCGAAACCAGTGTGACCTTGTGTGTCAAGTATGCGGCAATAAAACAAACAACCCCCCTCCCCCAAACTCACGTCCTCAAGCAGAAGCAACCTCAGGGGTCTGCAGGGCCAGACTTGTGGTGTGGAATGAGGGAGGCTGTGGGTGGCACAGCTAGACTGGAGAGCAGATGTGGCCCCATAGGACAGTGGACTGCGGCTGCATGGCACCCGGACCCAGTGTTGTTGGATCTTCCGATTCTGTCAGGAAAAGCTTGAACTGTGGATTTAAAAACTGTAAAATCTCTTTCCCTTTCACAATTCTTT